AACTGATATCCCTTCTAAACACCCCAACACCTAGAATGGTACAATCAAGTGGAAATCAAAATTGTCAACTAAAAATAAACTTTCTAGTGTGGATAGCTACAGCTAGAGCTTGACAATGTGATCCGAGTAGATTAAATGGCTCACAAATCAAAAGGCACATCTGAAGAATCAAGCATTAGAAGAAATTCTAATGTTTTAAAATAAATATAATGATTTTTAGACATCTGCTGCGACAATACTGAAAGCCATGGATCTTTGCACTTCCTGAGTTATGTTAGGAAAGAACCCAGCAGTCTGGACAGAAATTTCTGCCAGATTTTCTGTTAACGGGAAGTCTTTGTTCCTTAAGTGTTTAGTTTTTGCTACACAACATTACTGAAGTGGTAACAAGGAAAATACTGTTCTTGATCACAATGTGGCCCGATTAATACACAGTGGTAGACTGACAAAAGTAGGAACACTTTCCCATAACTGGATTTTTTTGCTCGAGGGAAATAAATGGATGTAGTAATATTCCATTTTATTTCATATTGAATATAACCATTGCACTAAGCAGAATACTTAGTTCAAAAAGGGTATTCTAAAATGCATTGCATCCACCATCAAAGAGCAAGAAACCATCTTACAGATTCTCTACAAAGTTATTATAGAAAATGTTTCATGAGAGTTTTGCACTTTTTTGCAGCCTGTGGCTTCTAAAATTACTGTGACTATGCAAATGTACATCTCTCCACTTTTATCTTACCCAAACTTTTTCCCATTTGCTAATTTATTTTCTTCAGCATTTTATCTGGTCACAGAAGTTTCCCTGAGGGAGAACAGTCACTGTGTTGTTTGTACAGTGCCTGGTGCAATGGCTTCCTAAAAGCTATGTAGGATCTTTATGAGATCATAGAAATAATACAATAGAAATAATAAACATTTTATTTTAACAAACAATAGAAAAAAAAGTGTCTTTGAGAACAAGCTGAAGAATAGAGGCCTTGTGGTATGAAAATATCAGCAGGGTAGAAAAGATTTTCTGTATCTATCTAACCTCTTTTGGGTGTTACATTTCCTTCGAATGTTTCAATGTAATCTGGCCGTTTACAACTTGTCATCTTATCTACCTTAACTTGATGTAAAATATTTGTCAAATAGATTTTTCTGTCTCAGAATTTGAATGGAGTGTGGCATTATAAGAACATGGTGTGAACTTTGGCTTCTACAGCATGATGCTTTAACTAGTAACAAGAATCCCAAACAACACAATCTTTTTAGGTCACTCATACTGTGCTTAATTTTAGAGGGGGTTATTTTAAAGTTGTAACAACCTGAACACAGAACCAGTAAATAATTAGTATCTATGAAAGAACTCAGCAAGTCTATAAAATTTAAAACTGAAATTGTCACTGAAACTTCACAATTTCTAAGGAAACTTTCCATTGGTGCACTTGCTTTTTCATAATTACGGCCACAACTTTGGTTTCAACCTTTACAATGCTGGCAGGTGAACCTGAACTGAAGCTGCAGACAAAAAAAGAACTCCAGTTGATCCCATAAAGGTGTCTGCACAACTGATCCCAAGATCTGTATCTGACCTGCTTCAGGTGCCCAGTTTATCTTTCCCTGGCATCTATGTGATCTGTAGAAGATGAGCTGAATGTTACACTGGTTTCAAAATCAGCAGGCTCTGTCTCTAAGGTCAAGACACAACTGAATAATGAAGTCAAGTCATACGGTGGATTCCTGACAGTGTCAAAGTATTTCACCAGCATTCCAAAATTCTGTACTATTTTGGTGGTGTTTTTTTTTTTTTTTGTTTTGTTTTTTTTTTTTTTTTTTTTTGTCAACTGCCCTCACCTTAGAGGAAGGAAAGAGAATAGATTAAAAACTTCTTTAATAGACCCTTGGGCTGAGCTCCAGCATCAAAATGTAGTTGCCTAAAGTCTACCTTGAGGGATCATTAAAGTTTTATTATTACTATTTATGCTAGTGCTCTCCATATTCCAGCCACTTTCTACATACTTAAGGACTGTCCTGACCATGGTGCTCACAACCCTTTGTTGTTACACAAATAACAGAAAGTCAATCCTCTCACCAAAGACCTTACATTCAAAGCAGGTAAGGCAGCTATAAGGCAGCGAATGTACAGAGGAATGCACAGCATCTCCCAACGATCACACAGGAGATCACTGGGACAGCTAGGAACAAAATCTTTATCTCCCCACTTGGGTCTCTGCCTTGTCCGTGGCACCACAATGACTCCTCAAGGTTTTCCTCTGGACAGTGAACTCTGGAAAACAAACCTTTCACATCCTGTGTGCAGGCCATTAGAAGATCACCTTCTTAACAATGGCAGTGCTTAAGATGTGACACTATAGCTAGAGTAATGAGGAAGATCTTGCAGCAGCTTATTCTTCTTCTTTCAGACTTTGAGGCATGTAATCAGAAACGTCTCCCAGTGACAAATTCAGCACAACAAGGGAGAAAGCGTTTTCCATGAAGAGGCTGGAGAGTCACAGGGTGGGTGTGAGGCACTGACAGGAATGGAAAAATTCCTTTCAGTTTCTTTTTCTCACGTTTATTCTGTGAGCTTTGTTAGGACTGTAGGAAAGAAGTGCTCTTCCTGCAGGTCCTACATAACTTGCACAGGAATAACAGGGCTGGGATAAGGAGATGAAAGCTGGGAAGGATCACTTTTCCTCTTGCAGAATACATGAGACTTAGTTGTAGACATCTTCTAGAAATGACCTGATGATGTGATGAGTTAAGGCTTAAGTCATCCACTTTCCCTTCATGAGTTTTAGGGGTCACCTTGACACTCCAACCCATACACTACTACCCCTATAACAACTTCAGGAGCCTGGAAAACATTTCAACTATAAACGGGAAATATTTTAGCAAGTGATTTTTCTACACATAGACCTATTAGCACAGATTGCTATATTTAAGTACTTAAGTATAAATCTACTGTATCTTGTTATTATTACAGAAAGAGTTATGGCCACATGAAATACTTGGAAACTTCTATATGTGCACCTAAGCAAGAGTGAGCTTGTAATTTAACCAGGACAGAAAATATTTGTATACAAAGATTGAGTAGACTTGAGGTTGCGAGATGAAAAAGCTCAGCCATAGTGACAATCAAGTATTAAATGCATTATTAAAATAATGTTCTGATGTAACATTTTTTGTATACTGAGGAAAATATTTAAACTGGCAACTTCTTTGCTTTAAGGTTAACATAGCCTGGATGCCTCAGCTGGTCACAAAGCTGACTCATCCCATGCTATTTTTACACTTGCTCCTCCTAAGACCCAGTCCATATTCCTTCAAATTTCTTCAGATTTTAAGTAGAAAAGTCACCATTATTTTCTTGTGAAGTCTTTCTGGAATTAGGCAAAGTAACAAATGCTATTTGAAATCCCACATTTTCACCAACAGGTGGAGCTTACATTTTATATTTCATTTACAATGACTTTAAATTCAAATAATATAAAGACAAATACTTTATACCTCGCAAACTCAGAACTCCAGCGTTTCAGGTAAGATTAGGATCACAACATTTTATTCCAATATTCCACTGTATGTAAACAATAAACCCTAGGCCAGCTCCTTTTCTTGCTTACACCAATTGCAGAGTTTCCTGTTTTTAATGACTGTATAATTAGATCCATTATAATTTTTCTTTAAGTGTTGCCCCTTCACATTATATTTTCTTTCCTGTTGACTCCACTAATATTCACACACGTATTATTTATCTGACATGCATAGGTTTCAACTGTGATACATTTGATTGATTTCAGAACACAACTGAACCTACATCTGTAAAGAGATATTGATGCAGATACTGTGTATCAACCTTCTTCCACTTAATTCTCCACAGGAGAACACTAAAATACTTTGTAGCATCTGCTGTTATTTAACTGGAACAGGCTATTGATGTCAGAGGCTACATCTAATGCACAAAGCTATTTAGAATTATACCCATTATTTATCCTGAGTGAGGAATTGCTTTTTACAAATCCTTTCAGGTCTTCATTTTCATTTATCTACCTAACAATATCCTTGATTATCTGAGGCTTTTTAGTAACTGTTTAGATTTCTGAAAACATCTTAGCATTCACTTGCACTGTCATAATAATCAGCAAGCATGGAATTATAAAGGCAAAATGGAAAAAGAACCCTAAAATCCAACAGTTGTTCAAAAGTGTTGTGGAGAAAGGAACTTCCTTAATCCACTATGACAGAAGATTTTGCAGAAATACTCTGCCACAATGGCTTCTGATGCTACCAGTGACTTTTAGGATGAGCAAAACTGTACAATATTTTAGGTATATATACACAGATATAAATATGTGTGCACACACATATGAACACATGCACTTGCATGTTGGTATACTGCAGCTAATATTCTGTTGCAACATGCAACTGTTCAATTTACATAACTCATAAGAACGTTATTGTAATATTTGTTTCTTCACTGATAATTTCACAGTCAGATCAAAATGTGTGTGTTGTATGGCTCCCACTGGAATAACTTATATACGCAAGCACGGACACACTCATATTTTCAGAGGAAATGAACTACAGGTTCAGATCAGTCTAAAAATAATCTCAACACACAGGAATGACCAAAGCCAAGCATTTGTGCAGTATCCAGACTTACTGAAAAATGTCCTAGCAATTGGCTTAAATAGAAAACCAACCAACCAACCAAAAACAACAACAAAAAAACAAAAACAAACAAACAAACAAAAAAAAAAAAAACCAAAAAAAACCCCAAACCAAGCCTCCATTTTAAATATGTAAGTCCAGTTTGATTCCAGACTGATCTGCAAGTCTGTGAACCTGCATTCCCATTAAAATTCTGTGTCTTTTCAAAACCTCCCATCGACACCCACCTGCCCGTTGCCACACCTTGTCGGTAACAGCTCTACGTATTTGAAAGGCCGTCAGACAAACCAAGTCACCACATAAATGGGCAAACTACACATTTATCCACAATGATTAATGACAACAGGGTTGTGGGGGGGTTTTTATTGCCTATAACTATCTTTGCCAAGGTGACGCATACCGAGTGGCTGCCGCGCCAGGCCCGCCCCTGCGGCCGACCCCTGCCAGCAGCGCCCCCGGTGAGGCGGCAGCAGGAACGCCCCCCAGCCGCCGCCGGAGCAGCACCCGACCGAAACCCCCTGAAGGGTTCGCCCCGTGTGCGCGGCCCGGCCTCCGCCGCCGCCCCAAGCCGCACGCCCCGCGGCCCAGGGCCCGCATGCGCGCCCCCACCGCAGCGACGCGACGTGACGCCCCGCCCCGCCGGGACCCAGAGCCCGTCAGGGCGCGGGACTGGCGCATGCGCCTTGAAGGAGCCGCCGGCAGGGCAGAGGCGAGGCACTTCCTGTTCCGGGGCGACTCCCTCCGCACACCGTAAGGAGCCGCGCCGCGGCTGCGGGGCTTCTTTTTCGCAAAAGCGGAGGGAGAAAAAGCGCGTGCGGCCGCACGGAGGAACCGCGCCACGCCACGCCACGCCACGCCACGCCACGCCACGCCACGCTCCATTCCGCGCCTCCTCTGCGCTTCCCCAGCCGCGCTGGCGGACACCGCGCCTGCGCAGCCGGGCGCCGTCATGGGGAGCATGCGCGCTGTGGCCGGGCTGGGCGGGGCGGAGCGGAGCGGAGGGCCGTCAGGCGCGACGGGCGGAGCGGTGGGCTCCGCACCCTGCGGGGTGGGGGTGGGGGGGCGCGGGGGGTGTCCGGGCAGCCCGGGTGGGAGCGGGCGCCGGCGGTGACGCCGCTCCCCGTGAGCTCGGCACCGAGGCCTGCCCGCTGGCCTCGGCGGGACGTTTTGTCTTGTCGTGCTAACAGTGAAGAGGGTTTTTTGGTTTTTGTTTTGTTTTGTTTGTTTGTTTTATATTAGCTAATGTCACTGTTTACACTTGGGATGCCTGTCGTTACCATTGTTTAGAAAAGCAGGTGATTCAGGAATTAAAACTGTTCTTCCCGCACACTTGAATATTTTCTGTCTTCCTGGACTCACATAAATTCAAGCAGATTATGCTTAATGGTTCTTCTTTAAAGGTGACATTGAGCAGTTGGGAGGGAGTTTTGTTATATTCGATGTTTTGTCAAAGCTATAAAACCAGATTTGTCCCAGTCCCACAAATATCTGCTGAGCAGAGACTTAGAACTTGCATAATGGTTTGTAAATCATGACTTGGTTTGTAAACTTAGTAGCATTTTTAGCATTATGTATATCAGAATATGTTGTGTGTACTAGAATCATCCTTTCAACGTTTCTCTAGGAGGAAGGAACGAGAGTTTTGTCTAATGGCTGCTCCAGGAAAGGTGGCAGCTTTCAGTCTGCCTCCTCTGCCAACTATTGGAGAGATTATTAAACTCTTCCGCCTTAAGGCACGGAAACAACTTTCCCAGAACTTTCTACTGGATTTGCGATTGACAGGTTAAATGTTTCATTCTAATCTTTCTAGCTACTATAAAACATGTATGCTGGTTTTCTTTAGGATACAGATTCTAGCTAGCTAACGTGTTGGTGTTTACCTGATGACATCTGTCAAACTAATGGCAGCTCAATGGTAAATCTTTAAAAATAGTTTTAGCTTAGACAAATTGATTTTACTTGTAAATTCCTAGAAAATGTCTGTCTTTATAAATTACAGAGTAATTTTTAGGTAGAAACTATATTCCTATGTAAAATATGGGTTATTGATTGAAATGTAAAAATCTATGCCTTAGGAGTACTTTTACTGTTCGGGTATTATTGTAGTTTATAAATTTGATTAAAAAATTAGTATTTCTTTCAGATTATTATGTGTCATAGAAAGTACTGTAACTCAGTGTGCAGTTTAACTTACTGTATACTGTGGTTATAAAGGTCATTTGTCTCAGTTTATCAGAAATGTTGTAGCTTTTTTGAACCAGTTACATTGTTATGACAATTCAGTTTCCTCCAGTTTCATGTGAGCAGTGGGTGACAAAGCTGGCACTGTTCAGTCAGTGGTGGGGTTCTTTACTGTCCTAGTGGTGACTGGGTTTTGCAGTCATAAATGTAGTGCAGCTGCATGTAGTTGATTTGATTACATTTAAAGCTTCAGGTTGATAAGGATTTAGGATATGAACATGAAACTCAGGTCCACTTCCTGAACCTCTGTACTCTTACCCTGGAGCAAAAATGTCTACATGCTTTTAGTAAAACCTTACAAGTAGATAAGTCTTGGGATATTTCTTGTTTTTATTGCATACTTAAGAAGTTATGGAGCGAGCAGCATAATTTCTCTCAGCATCTTCTCTCCATGTTTCCCAAGGATCCCCTTGTTTCATTAGCTACATTTTTAATCCTTAATCTGTTTTATTTCCTTGCTATAATACCTTCTAATATTGTATCCTTCCACTTATGCACAGGTATTCTTTCCTCACCTTTCAACTGCCTCGCTTTCTGTAACTATCAGTTGCCTGTATTTCAACTCTTACTTTACACCAACTCCTCCCTCATAAAATTGCTCTGTATATATTGTAATCTTGGTAGAGCTTCACTGTATCTTTTTTTACTTCTTAAATTTCCTTGAAACAGGGTTACTGTAGTGAAATACCTTTATAAGATAAGTAGTGAGGCTTTAGGACATTGAACACAAAGTGCTTACTTGCAGGACAATAGATTTACAGATGAGAAGTAATACTCTCTTTTTATTTGATTCTGCAATGAGCAACAGTGTATATCAAAGACATTAAACTGAAAATAGTTTTTATAATATAGTTGAGCATATTCTTGTATGAAACAAATTTGAATTTTGTGCAGTCTAGCAGGCATGCAATCATTTAACTGGGATGTGTCACAGTTTGTGTCTGTTCTGGGATAAGCAAGCTTGTGCTTTAACAGTAAACAATGAGTTTATCTTAGTGAGCTGGATCTTCTCAAGAATAAAGTCTTAGTCTGTTCTTTGTGTCTTGCAGACAAGATTGTGAGACAAGCTGGTGAGCTGAAAAATGCCCATGTTTGTGAAGTGGGCCCTGGACCAGGAGGAATTACCAGATCCATTCTCAGTGCTGGTGTTGAACAACTCCTTTTAATTGAAAAAGATACTCGATTTATTCCAGGATTGAAGGTACCAACTGGAGAATAATTTGTATGAATGTATCCACAACATTGAATGTGAACATTTTAAGAACATAGAAAGGTTCCAAGTGTCTTTTTGAGATCTTGGCACTGAAAATAGGTTTGCTTCTTTGGCTTAAATCAAAGATGTCATTTGCTTGAAGATAAAAATACATAGTATAGCAATTAATCGCACCTGCATTCTCATAGGCCTGATATCAGGATCTGATCCTGCAACTGAATTAATGCTGAGGCCTGTCTGGTTTGTTCTGGGTACATTTCACCATGCAGGTGAAATAGTAGTTTGAGGGCTGAACATAATGTCCTTTGGTTTTATTTTTAATTTTAATCCTAATAATTGTGCTTTAAAGTTTATAAAATTGTGAAAGTATATGTCCAGTTAATACAATTCAATGTGGTTTAGCATCCAGGTACAGAAGAATAAAGCAAGCATTTATTTTACATTTTTAGGAAAAAAACACTCTTAAACTTTTGTTCCCTACTTTGAAAGTTGTTATAAGTTCACAAGTTACTGTGGCATTTTTCAAATGTCATCTACTTGTGCTGCTATTAAGTTACCACGTTTATGGAGTTTGGCTGCATAAATCTAGCAAGAAAAACAGAGTCCAAAAGCTCTTCATATCTGACTATTTTCTTGTGCCTTTACAATCTCATATTACAGTAATTCAGAGGGCTTTCCTTATATTGCACTGTCTCTTCTGTTCACTTGAGAACTGCTACCATCTCTTTGTAGGACAAAACTAGTTTAAGATATGAATGAAACTGTTTGTATCCATTAGCCTGAATATGTGTGTAACTGTAGTTTTGGCCATTGATAATTTATAGTATACCATCTTTACCTTACAAAATATGAAAACTTCATGTTTTCACTTTTATCAAGTGGGGGCTAATCTGTATTTTGTTTTAGATTTTAAGGACTGGTTTGGAATTGCAGGAATTTGAGATTAAATGATACTTGCTTTAGTTAACACAGTTTTTTAAGTACAGACAATTTTTCCGATCTTCTAAAAAGCAGCCACTATAGCTGATTTCTCTGAATAGAAGTATACTTTTCAGAGTCTATAATGAGATTTTGCAATGTAATTATCTTTACTATTTAAGTGAATTAACATTAGTCATTAATTGGTGACCTCCCCGCATTAGAAATAAATATGTGAATGAGGTTATTGAGTATAAAGATTCTATAACTCAGTAACAGTGGACGTGAATGAAGAAGATATATGTTGCATCTATTAGTGTTAAATTTGGTAATTTCTTTTTCCCTCCAAATATGATGATACATAACAGAATTAATCTTTCTTTTGTGATAATGTGGGTTGTAATACCTGTTTTTTTCATTAAAAGCTCTGTTAAAACCAAATGCTCGTAAAAGGGTTGAGATTTGAATAACAGAAAATGTCAGAGATTAAAATAACAATTGGAGACTATTACTTATTAGATACTTACGAAATCACTGATGTAAAGCATACAGCATTTTTCATTAACTGCTTTCAGGCTGTGTCTCTATCACAAAACTGAAGTTGGGATCCTCTTTACTGCAAAACTGAAATATGGTGAAGAACGTATGTGTACAAAGTAAAAGTTTACACAAGCTGAGAGTCTGTCAGTTCTGTCTCACTCTTAAAGGATCACAACCTCCATATGCCCTAATAGTTGTTAGGCTGGAAAGATTTATGAGGAGAGAAAGGGTGCTTTCAGCCAGAGAGTGGATTGAATATAGAATTCTTCCAGGACCGCCATTTAATTTTTTAAACTATGGCCTTTATGTTTTCTTCATGCCCTTTTGCTTATATGTGAAGAATGAGATGATCTGTATGATTGAGAATCACTTTAGCTTGTGCACTTGTGCAGGAGCTCCTGAAACTGTTAGCTGCACACATTAGCCATAAAATGGAGAAAGTTTCAGTGGGTTTCTGAGTCTTTATTTCAAATTAGAAATATACAAGTGTAATTTTCTGCTCACAAATTAAATGCAGCCGTTGTTTATGTTGTGTGATACTCAAAAAACCTCAAACTCCTTTTGACATGAAAACCATTATTTAAAAAACAATATATGTTAATCCATTATTATGTAGGCAGCTGTCTGCTTCCTCTTATGCTATTTTCTAACTTTATTGATTTATCTTTCATCCTGTTACTGCATTTATAACAGCTTCAAAGAAAAATTCGACAAATCATGGCAGATTAGTGAATTTGTATGTCATATAATTGCTTGCATAATGCTAAAAAATCCATTAAGTGGTTTGGAGTTGAGGTTAGATTTATTTTTTCTATTTGGAAATAACTGCACTTAACTTGTAGGAACATTTAGTTTTTAGCTAAGCCTTTTTTTTTAGTATGCCACACAAAATTTAGCTGTCTTGATGGTAAAAAAAAAAACAAAAAAAAAACCCAAAAAACCAAAACTTAAAAAAACCTTAAAAAAAATTAATGCAAGCATTTTGTGAATAGTATGAGAAAGCATCACTTTCCTTTGGCTCAGAGACCTCTGAATGATATTTGTGCGCCTGAGCATATAAACGTGATTTAGATGAAAGATGGAACTAATAGTGGTGAACAGTTTATTTCAGCGGTTAAGCCACTAAACTCTTTATGGATTTGGGTTTCTGTGCAAAAGCAAAATTGTTCTTTAAGGCATTTTTCATTATTCTGACTTAGGAATAATAAATATCCCCAAGTGTTATCTTTGTAAAAATTGCCTTTGCTTTTGAATTGTGCTGTTTGTGCACAGTTTCATGCTCTAAGAGAAAAGATCACTACAACACTAAAAAATGTAACTAATTTTGATTGTGTAAACTGACACCAGAAATAACAGAATTGGTCATGAAACTACAGCCAGTTCTGAGTTTGCATTTCAGCCTTTATTAAATACTAGCTAAACTGTGGAATTTGGAATGAGAAGTTCACAACAGAGTGGATTTTATTATGCCTAAAAAGATACTTTTTTTTTTTTTTGAGATTTTTCTCTATTGCTAGGTACTTATTCCCTTATTTTGGGGAACTCTGTAGTTTTTAATGGTGTAAGTTCAGACTACTACAGGGGGTATTAAGAGAATCTTTTCCCCTTTTTTATGTAAAATTAAAAATGACTGAATATTTCTGCAGCCTTGTATTACATACAGCTAAAATTGGGTAATAGACCCTACTGGGGGGGAGACAGAATAAACAACATAAGGCTTGTTTCCATAGGTAATGGATCTAAAAATGTTTCAAAACCTGCTGCTTGCATTATTCTTAAATCAGGTGGGGTCCTGTTAGTGGCCTGGGGCTTATTAATTGTCCTTCTTGAAGAGACTCTTTGCAGTCTTTTCAAGTTTAAAATCCCTCTTAAGAATTCTACAGCTATGAATAGCAAGCATTTACAGAATCACACATTAAATTTTTTTCATTAGTGTTTGCTTTTTGAAAATACATACTTACTAATAGTGTGCTCAGTCTTAACTTTTATTGTGCTTTTTTGTATATGGAAGATAAATATATAGCAATGATTTGATTCCTGCTGTGGCTGAAACTGGAAATCAGTTGGGTTAACACTCACTGTGAGTTCTGCTTGCTTGCTTACAAACAGATGTTATCTGAAGCAGCTCCAGGAAAAGTGCGCATTGTTCATGGAGATATCCTGACATATAAGATGGAGAAGGCTTTTCCAGGGCACTTAAGAAAGAACTGGGAGGAAGGTTAGTATTTGGATTTGGTTTACTTAATTTTTAAGGCTTCTGAGTTAGTCTTAAACGTGGTGATATAGTTGTGATAGAGTTCACTCAGTGCAAATGTTACTTCCTTCTGGTACAGTTTGAAAGTAAGAGAAAAACAAGCTGACTTTCTTTCTAGAAGGAAACAGAGAATCATATTCCTCTTCTAAGACAGAAAAGTAGAATGTGTGTGACATTCACCTTAGTCAACAGTGAGGAGCTTTGCAGTTACAAACCTCAGAGTGTCTTGACTGTACAATAATGATTCTTGGAAAATATAAAAGCAAATCAAATGGTATACTTTCTTCCCAGCTTCCACTTTTTGAAGAAGCCAGAAGCCACCACTGCTGCTTTTCTACTGAAGACATTTCTGTAACTTGCTTTGAACTTTTAGGAAATTTGTCCTCAAAAATTTAGTTTTCTTATTGCTTTGGTTTCAGCTGGGTATCTTTGGCAAAAGTAGAATCCAATCAGAGATTTTTTATTTGGTTGGTTGTTTTTTGTTTTGTTTTTTTTTTTTTTTTCAAATCTGAGGTTCTTATAGGACTCTTTCACCTCTCTTTTAAAACATGTAATATTATTAGATAAATCAGAGATGACCTCTCAGTCCCCTTTCCAAATGTCCTAATTTAAGTTATAATCACTGTCTGCAGTGCCTGAAGAACAGTAAACTGCTTTCTGACTTAGGACATAAAAGATCATGCCATATTATGTTCACCTTGAAAAATTCCATGCCGTATTTGTCTCACTGGAAAAGGCAAGTGCTTCACAAAACAAAATAACGAGCAAATGTATGTGTCAAGGTGTAGTGCAGTTTTTAAATAGTTACCTTTCTTCAACATACCTATAAGGCATTATTGTCTTTGGAGCTAACTAATTAGAGGTAAGGTACACTTTTTCTGTATTATTGTCATATGAAAAGCTGAAAGACTGGTGGGTTTCAGAAAGATACTTGGCCATCTCTGATATATGTGTAATATCACAAGTATGCTAGAAATACCACAGCCTAGAAAGTGTATAAGTGTGCCAGATAACTAACTTGAATTTTATGTCATCTCTTATTCATGTTATGAAATGCCACAATATCTAAGAAACAACACACTTTGCTTTTGCTTCTGTTGCACTCCTGGTTAGACATAAGGATCCCAGCTGATGAAATGCCTGCTATGTGTTGTACAGCACATACATACTGATATGATCCATAATTGAACAATATGTATCACTGGCTAAGGCATGTTCTTATTCTAAGACCTTCTGATTTCAGAGGACTATGCAGAAGGAGAGTTCTGTGCAGTTTGATCTAGGTGATTGTTTTGGGGGGTTGTGAAGAGTCAGTAAAATGCCCCTGGGAGGAACGTGTTGGACAGAAGAGTGAGTGTGTCTATTTACTCTCTACCTAATATTCACAATTTAAAATTGTGGAAACACTGTTGTAGTTTTGCTGTTACGGTTTTGCTATTCTGGAGTAGCTCAGCTGAAATTACTGATCAGCAGAAAATCAACTGAAAGCTACTGACGTATTCAAATGTAAATTAGAACCAAACCTAACCACTTTTTTCCATCTAATTACTGAGAATAGTAACACAGTTTTGTCAGTGTAAGACAAGTATAAATGGAAAGGCATAATTTTGGTGTGGCATGATAAAAATTGTTTTCATATTTTAAGTCTAGGTTGATATGCACATATCTTTTTCTTATGTGTTCTTTCATGGCAAAATCTTATCCAAAACTTTTTGACAGTTTTTTTTCTTCTGTCAAATGTTAACAGAGCCACCAGATATACATATCATTGGGAATCTGCCCTTCAGTGTTTCAACTCCTCTAATCATTAAATGGCTTGAAAATGTTTCCAAAAAGGATGGACCTTTTATTTATGGCAGGACGCAGATGACGTTGACCTTTCAGAAGGAAGTTGCAGAGGTAAGATGGAAGTGTTTTCCCAAAATTTTACAGGTGGTAAATTGAACAAAAATTTGTTTCCATGGAACTTCTTGTTTAAAAGTACAAACCCAATCTTAGTTGGCTTTAAAAAGAGAGGAAAGAGTTGGTTCAATTTTTAGTTTGTGTGGCTGTAAATTATGAATTTTAATGTTGAGTTAATCATATGCTCTAATCCTCTCACAGCACATTAATTTATTTTTTTATTTCTTGTGGAGGGATATATTTCCTTAAGGTACTTAATCTGTTCTTTTCTGAAGTCTGATTTCTTTGACATAAATAGATTCTACAGCACTCTTCTCATTTTAAATATCTTCTCAGTCATTCATGTACCATTTCCTCAGACTGTTTTTCCTTACCTTTTAATCATCTCAGGAACTAAACTCAGTTATTTCCTTTCCCCTCTTAATGAAAAGTATTTTTTTAAAAAAGATACCTTCCTTGAAGTAAGGAAAAATGGGAAGTTAGCATTATTTCCAGTTGTGATTAAATATTTAAAACACAGGGAGTGTTTGTCAAGACTGTGGAAACTGACTCTGGCATTTTTGAATGAGACTTGATATCAGAATTATTAATGGATTGCTGCCTGCCTTGTGTGTGTAATAAGGCATCATTTCAGTCACAGCAAGTCCAAGAGCAAATTGAGATTTTACTTTGTCTCAACAGTTAGATTCTCAAAGAAGGCCAAACTGATCTGCTATGTAGTAGCATTAATTCGAGATCTGTTGATATTAGGTTGATTTATTCCACAATGCTTTCAGACTTAACAGTTTATTTCTGTTGCCATTACATAAAACATATAACATAGAGGCTGGAAGACTTTTTGCTTTACATTTATGAAAGTGGTATGGCTTCTTACCAGCATCTCACTTGCGCTTTTAAAATAAAAAAAGAAAAAGGAGTTGCACATCAGTATGAAAACTGAATTTCCATCTAATTACTCCAGTGTTTGTAAATATCTGGTTTTCTGTGTGCAACCTAAATGTGTGTAGTGTTTTAATTTTAATCTTTCAAAGTAAAAATTCTAATAGGAAAATTTTGCTGTGGTTTTTTTGGTATGTTAATTAGTAACAAATATATATGCAAGTGGCATGTCTGCTGTTGTTTTCTGGGGTCATAGAAAACCATATTTTGCTGTCATTAGTCTTGCAATAAAGATTTGAAACAAGTACTGAAGTATTTCCAGAAGGTGGCTCTAGAGAACACCAGGGACAAACATTTGTTATGAAATAAGCTAGACTTCTTTATTCAGTTCTGAGCTCACGTGGTTTCAGGCATTAAAAAAATCCAGATCTGTTTTCCAGAAGGACTTCATGTCATTTAAGATTAAACCTTGTTGCAAAATATGGCTAATGAACTATGATGTAAAATGCAAAGTGGTGATGGGTAAGATGCAAAGTTTTGTGACAGCGGTGAAAAAAATGACCTAGCACTGAGTGAGAGCATAAATGCAGTCTGTACTTTATATAGCTGTAACCAGCTGCATATGCCATTGGTGACATGCAGATTATAGTGCTTCTGCACCCAGCGTAGCTAAATGAGATGCAAAATACCATGCATTCTTAAGTTCCTTGTACTTAGAATGCTGAGAAGTTAGTAACACTAGGAAATCAAATATGTTGTTCAAGGTCATGCAGTGAATCAGTGTTAATTGTTGTTCAGTTTACATTCTGGGATCTCCTTGTTCTTACATCTATTTAGACACAGATCCTCCACTGAAGGCAAAATTGTTCCTAGTTTCTTGTTTGTGTTTCCATCATTGTTTTGACATCATGAAAAACTTGTTTGAGAGAGACTATTCTGTTTTATGATTAGGAAAAAGGATGATGATCAAAAGCTGTGGGTTTTTTTCTGGCCCTTTGAAGTTGCTTAAATTGACCATTGTAATTTGGCATATACAGGCATATTCAGTACCGGGAAGTAGAGAATACTGTAATGCAGACAATAAATATGTTGCTACTGGTACTTTATGTATCTGTGGATTTATATTCTTGAAAGGAAAATGTTTTATACTCAGAAGTTTTATGTCCTTACTGGATGTTTCTAAGCTGAGAGCCTAAATATCAAAGAAAGTCTCAGTGTATATGCCATAAACTCAGCAGAAGGGTAAGATGCTGCCGTGGAATGGAGCCATGTGCTTTGTAATCAGGATAACTTGATGCTAACAGTAAGAAAATAAAGCATCATGCTATGTTATTTGTGGTCAAGCTCATTTGTGCTTGTATAGCTGGTAGAAAATACCTTTACTTTTCTTGCTGGTGGTAGTTTCCTGCTTTTCTGTTTCCTTATAGCACAGCTGTGTTGGCATGAGTTACATCAGTATAGACCTATGACAACAGACCGCTCTGTTCTGATATGATTTGATTACATTGATTAAAACTGTTGATGAGAACCAGCAGTTATGTTATATACTGAATTCTGAGGCCTGTTAAGGAGGATAAGGCCATATCTACAGTACTAAAAATGGCACTTTTAAGGGTTGACCAGGTAATTTTGTCTCTCTGTAGTTTCAGTTTGTGAAATTGTTACACTGTGGCTAAGAATTTTTACCTTGCTCTAAATTCCTCAGTGCTTCACCTCAAATCTGCTACCTAGGCTGGGTACCTCCTGGCCCACTTCCATTAAAATGAGTCATATTTCAGTTTAAATGCAAAATCTTTGTCAGTGTCTAATTTTGAGTCAAACTGGGCAGAGTAGTTTGCCTGAACTGCGCTGCCAACATGATCTGCAGGCAGGGAGGTGGGGTGCTAAACTGTTGGAGATCTAGAAGACAGGCCTGTTAGAAGAGCAGAATACTTAATCATTTTGTATCTCACACTGCTGTCTATTTAGAACACTAGGCAAAAGGTGCTAATAAAGTGGAAAATATTTCAGATTTTGGGGCAGCAAACGGAATAAAAATTACCATTATGTTTTTTCATAACTGATAGAAGTTAAATATAAATACTGATGTTCTAAGAAAAAAGTTGTTTTGCAGAAAGTGGCTTGTGTACTGAAATGTGTTTAATATTCCTTTATGTGGTCAGCGTTACCAGTCTAATTCTTCATGTAGGTTAATTCCTGTGACACATTTTACAGATTAATTGATACTGGGGTTTTAATACACATTTATGAAAAGCACAGTTGTATGGTATAGCTCACTGAAGAACAAAACAAATAGCTGTTCCTGAGGTAGTTATTGAGAGTGGTTGATAGTGAGCAGCATTAGAAGAGATGTCAAGTACCACCTTGATTGTATTCCAGGTTAGGCTCCAGAATCTTTGTTTTGCTTCATGCCTTTCTGAAACTTCAATAGCAGATGTAAGAATGTTACCTAGTTAGCTGAACTCCAGCATAGTTTATTTAGTGCGGAGTTGTGGTTTAACCCCAGCTGGCAGCTAAACAGGTACATCTCAAAGTATTATCTGATACATCCTCATTCACCACCACCCCCCTTCCCATCCTTTGATACATCACACATATATCATTCCCTTAGTTTGTGGACTACCCTTGTAAAATGTCCACAAAATGTTCACTTAGTTCATTTAGTCCATGACTTTGGACTCCATCTGTTGTGGTGGTCACTCAGGACAGGAGAGGTGGTGTGTTGCGTGGAGTTACAGGGTACCAGTGCCAGCTCAGGTCAGGTCACTGCTGCACTCGCACTGCTTCTTGTAAGGCTTGTCCTCCATTGATTCAGGTGGTTCCTGCTGTAGTAATTCCTATAACATGCAACTCTAATCATGGATTACAACAATTTAAAAGTTTATCCATTACAATCTCCACCCTTGGTCCCTTTGGGCCAGGTTATAGGGTTTAACATTGCAATGAACTCTTCCTCTTGCTCCTTGCCAGGCTAGCAACAAGGGGTTCCTGCTAGAGTAATTCCCCTAATATGTAACTCAAATCCCATGTTACAAGAATTTAAAGTTATTTCCATTAAAATCTCCCCCCTCTCCCAGTCCATTTGCACCAGACCATTTGGGTTAACACTGCAGTGAACTCTTCTCCTTGCCCTTGCTCTGGCTTGGATTTATGGACAGACTGTGGTCCCTTAGGGGTGTACCTGCTCCAAGAGGAGTCTCACCTGTGAGCCATGGTCTCTCCAGGGGTGTACCCACTGTGGCACAGACTCATTTCCAGCCACAGTCACTTTGAGATGCACCTGCTCCAGCGTAGCCTTCTCCAGGGTCCATGATGCCTTCAGGGTTATACCTGCTCCAGCATGGCCTTACCCACAGCCACAGTCCCTTCAGAAGTAAATCTGTTCAAACATGTCCTTGCCCACGGCGGCAGTCCCTCCAGGGGTGTACCTGCTCTGTCGTGGCCACGTGCTTTGAGGTGCTTCAGCACGACCTCATTCACAGCCACTTACACTTCAAGATGTACCTGCTGCAGCATGGACTTACCCACAGCTACAGATGGTTTGAGGTGTACCTTCTCCAGTGTAGACTTATCCTTCAGCCACAATCCCTTCAGAGGTATACGTGCTGTGGCACAGATATAACCACGGCCACAGATGCCTCAGGGTGTCCTGCTCCCACATGGACTCATTCACAGGTCACAGTCCCTTCAATTCAAGATCGCACTGGAGTTCCAGCCTGTCCAGTATGGCAACACAAACAGCAGCAGTGCTCTGGCCATTTTCCAGCCCAGCTCATCGCCATTGCTGTTATCAAAATGTTCCCAGGCACAGCAGAGGAAGATAAGCAGTACAGCAAGTAATGAAAGCAAAAAGCAGCCACTATCAGAGCCCTAGACTCCAACATACAGTGAGGCAGGCAAGCTCCCTGACAAGCAAAGGAGCCCATCAATTAAAATCAAAACAGCAATAACATCTATAAATTTGATCTAGCACATTCCAAATAAATCTGTCATTATCTCAGACCTTCCAAGCTCGGCGCTGGGTGCCAAAAAGGACTGTTGGGGTTTCACCCCAGGTGGTAACTAAGCCCTGCCTAGCCACTCAATCACTCCAGTGGATGGGGGAGAGAATTGGAACAGTAAAAGTGGGAAAACTTGTGGGCTGAGATAAAGACAGTTTAATGGGTAAAGCAAAACTGGGAATTCATTCACCACTCCGCGTGGGCAGGCGGGTGCTCAGCCATCCCCAGGACAGCCGGGCTCCATTGTGCATAATGGTGACTTGGGAAGGCAAACGCCATTGCTCCAAACATCCCCCCTTTTCTGTCCTCTTCCCCCAGCTTTATATACTGAGCATGATGTCATATGGTATGGGATATCTGTTTGGTCAGTTGGGGTCAGCTGTACCAGCTGTGTCCCCTTCCAACTTTTGGTGCATCCCCAGCCCACTTGCTGGTGGGTTGGGAAGCAGGAAAGGCCTTGGCTCTGTGTAAGCACTGCTCAGCAGTAAGGAGACCATCCTTGTGTTATTGACACTGTTTGCAGCACAAATCCAAAACATAGCCCTATACTAGCTACTGTGAAGAAAATTAACTCTATCCCAGCCAAAACCAGCACAATTAGTTTCAGGTGCTATACATATTTTTAAAGTAGGAGCAAAGAAAATTTTGAGAACTGAAAGAAAAAGCCTACAAAAATAGGTTAGGTTACAGAAGCACGGGAACAAACATTTTAGCAGGGCCTGTTGCCATAGGATGAGGGATAGTATTTTTAAACTAAAAGAGGGCAGATTCATACTAGATGTAAGGAAGAAATTTTTACAGTGAGGGTGTTGAAACACTGGAACAAGTTGCCCAGAGAGATAGTAGAAGATGCCCCTCCCCTGGAAACATGGAGAGTCAAGTTGGATTTGGCTCTGAGAAAGCTGATCTAGGTGAAGGTCCCTGCTCATTACAGGAGATGTTGGACTAGGTGACCTGTGAAGGTCCCTTCCAGCCCAAACTATTCTATAATTCTATTCTATGAGTATATTATCAGCATTTTTGCGTTCCTTGCGCAGTGCCATACGCAAGTATGTTCCTGCTGATGTGGTTGAAGTGGTTTAAGATGTTACTGCCCAGAGGTGGATGTTAAGTTATCCCTTCTGTGGTTGAAAAGCAGGAACTAACTGTCTGAGACTTGTTAGATTGTTCTTGTGGGAAGTAAATGCTGGCTTGTTTGAATTGGCATTGAAAGGACTACAAGCGTAGTCATTAGGTCTGTTTCATTTCCATTGCAGAGGCTAAGGAAGTGCATATCTGATTGCATTGTCAGACTTGGCAGCCTGTTTTGCTTTTGTTTTGTTTTTTTTTTTTTTTCAGAGAATAATAATGATGGCAGATAGATTTATTTATTTTTAATAGGTTTCTTCTGAATAATGAAGGTAGTTTTAAAAGCTGATGTAGGCAAAAAGAATTGCTAAGCTTTTTTTCTGAAAAGTCATTAAAAAGTATTTTATATGTCCTATGCTGATACCTAACTGCCTTTTAGGAGAGTTGTTTTAAAAAAATTAAAAACTTCAGCAATAATTTTAATTTTATTTTTCAGGGATAGTTTTAATAAGTGTGGCAGTATTTCATGAGTAGGCTTTTCATCTGAAGCTGCGTGCTGTAGAGGTGTTACCAGATACGCACATTGGTTTTCATCTTTTAGTTTTTATTAAGGTAGTGCTAAGTAAGAACAAGAATCTTCAAAATTCTATTTCTGCATAGTTAGTGCAATGTCTTTTTCCATTTGAGACTTGTTTTACTGGGTGTTTTTTATGTTTAAATCTTCTTAGTGCTAGCAAAACACACAAGTTTCTTGCAAGATCATGAAAGTATAGAAAACCTCTGTCTAGGCTACTTTTTTGGTTATATTTTTAAGAAATTTCTTGGAAAAATCAGAGAATTACTAAATTGAATTTTAAGTATTAAATGCTTTTGCTGTTAGATATTCTAAATTTATGTAAACTAGGTCCAGATTCCTTGCATATCTTGTAAGCGTAGACCAGTTTAGTCATGAAGAAATTTTGGTTTCTATTTGATTTTGAGTTTATGGAGATTTGTTTCTTCTTGAAGGAGAAAAAATAATAATAGTTGATACAGCAACAATGGAAGGAGAAGATGTGAGAATACTCTCAGCTGGTGTTGTGCTTGTTTTGAATCCTGCAGTCAGAATAGTTTTCTCTTGTGCCCATACAAAATACTTTTGACATTCATTAACTACTGCAGATATTCAAGGAGCTACTTTTCATGTGCATTTGACTGCAGGACTGAAGTTGGAAATTAGCATGGTATCTTAGTGAAATGCTGCTACACCAGAGAATAAAATTCTATTTAAACTGGGCATAAACTTTCATATAAGTTCCTAACAATTGTTTTGTTTTGTTGTTTTGTTTGTTTGTTTGTTTTAAAATTTGTCTTTGATTATACTGAAAATCAAGCTTTAATATAACTGACCCCTTGGTCAATTCAGTTTCACTGATTTACATGTTTTGATTCTTCAATAGAGGCTTACAGCTAATCCAGGAGGTAAGCAACGTAGCAGGCTGTCCATCATGGCTCAGCATCTCTGCACTGTTGAAAACTGTTTCGTAATTCCAGGTGAAGCCTTTGTTCCAGTGCCAGAGGTAAGTTTTGATGTATTTCTTTGGGTTTTTTGTTAATCTGTCAGTCAAGCAATATATCTGATTTTGAGTAAGGAACAGAGTTGGGTGCTGTAGTTCAACATCTCCATAATACGAAGTGATGTGATATTCGTGTAAACGAAGCGTGCTTGTTTCAGGGAGGTGGGGTTTTTTTGGTCCCTCAGAACTTGGCTTTGACCTTCAAGCCTATCCGCAAGATCAGCATACTTCTTTGGATGTTTCTGGAGAGGGAGATTAGGATTTAATGGCAGGATAGTCTGCTAGGATTGTAGCATCTTTGGAAAGCCTGCAGTTTTACAGTTTGCATTTATAAATAGTTTGGGAATTGTGCCTAGAAAATTTGATGGGTCTTTTGAAAGACCCTGATAAATAAAAGCTTTTCATTTGTCATCTTTGTCAAAGATCTCTAATTTTACTATGTCTATAATCTTTACGTTTCACCCTACTCATTTTTAGCATATTTAACTCCCTCCTATTCGCTATAACACTTTGTCACCTACATCCCACTGCTTGTTTAAAAAAGTAACAATCTTTTCTCCTTCCTGTCTGCTCTTGAGTGAGTGGAGAACAGTCTCTTTGCTGTCCTCTTATCTACTGCCACCGATTTTTATTAATAGCCATTATGATTACAAGAATCAAGAATTAATAAATTAAACTGCGTTTTGGACAAGAATGTATTGGGTTTTTTTGTCCTTTTTTTTGTTTGTTTTAAATGTGTACCTGACCCTAAGTGTGATCTGTTTGCCCTGAATGCCCATGGAAATCTAACGTTCTGTTTCAGAAATGAACATGCAGCTTCTGAAAATACCTCTTGAATTGGTTGGTTCAGCTCATGAGTACATCGCCTTTCCCCCTTATCACAGTCTTTCTCTTGGTCTTTTTACTCTTCAGACTCATCTCCTGTGAACCTTTGTATGGTCATTCTCTCTTTTATCACAGTGAACTTAAAGGCCTCTATCTGGACATATTCTGATGGTGATTTAAAATCCCATTAGTATTTTTTGAGCAAGTAACTATTCAAACAAATTATTAGTTGTGACAGCAGTCTATTATGAAGAAAAATGACCATCTTATTTTTCACTTTGTGTTTTGGGGTGGTTTGTTTTTGTTTTTTTTTTCCCACCTCTTAGCTGAATGAAAAATAATTTCAGGATGTCACCTCACTGTTAAATGTGTGAACAGTGTTCATTAAGGCCAAAATTCCAATTTTGTGGTGGTTGTTTCTCAATGGTGGATACAATTTGAGGGCATAGTAGAGCTAGTGTAGTCAAAAGACTTGTGCAGACTGTGTCACAGACTTGGGAAGCTGTAACCAATATTCCCATTTTTCTGTACTGAAAAGGCCATAGTTGACTGAGAGGGAAGTAACTCATAGAGTTGTGATAAATGTCTTAGTATGAGCAAATCCTACAGTCAGTTGGTGGTCTGTTGAATAAAAAAGGTGGTACCACTAAAGGCAAGCATATTTTTATCTAATATGTTTCTTTGAGTTAAAACAAATATCACTTATATTCCAGAAGCAGGGGGTATGAATTTTTCCAAGAGACCTGGCACCTGTTTTCATTGTTTCCCTCAAACTTGTGTTGTAGATTGGTCTTCTAGCTTTTAGCTACAGACTGATTTGTGTGTTTAGATATTACTACTTCTGATAGAATCTTTGTTTTCTTGGAAAGCTCTTGCAGCATATTGTGACTGAAGTGGCTCAGTGCTTGATTTTTGTTTCATAGGTGTATAAAGAAGTTCAGGTACTCCTGTATAAAGTTTTAGGAAGAAAAATTTGCCACTTATGTAACCGATGAATACTTCATTTTGCTCATAGTATGCAAGTATTACCTTTTTCTTATGCCCTCCTCTAAAAACACCTTTGGTTCTTATTTTCCAAGTGTTAGTTTTAATTCACATGCATAGCAATGATCACAGCTTAGTGTCATGTCAAACCCCTTACTAAAGATAGAGATGCACGTTTTTGGGAATGAGTTGTTTAGTTCATTTTGCTCAGTGAATTAGTATTAATTCAACAATTAATTAATTCAACAAAAGTGTTGAGACATAAAAGACTCTTGGTTTATGGAATGGAATGGTGCTGCACAAGGTTGTGTCTAAGCAAAGAAAATTCGTCTTTTTGGTCATAGTTAAGTCTCTTTAATACTGAGTAACTGCTGCTACTACCATTAGGAATAGTACAAAACATGCTTCTTGATGAATAGGAAATTCAAAATGACTATGTAACACTAGTAATACAAGCAAGACATAATTCCATTTTATGTCTATTAAAGACTATTTACATATCAGATACATAAAATATTCCACTTTGTCAAATGCTATAACAAAAGATCATATTTTCCAACAAACTATACATATAATGTTTTAGTGAATTTTTGGATAATAATATGGGGAATGAAAGTTGTATATAAATACGCAAAATAAATAGCAGTTGGTTTTGTTGAAAGACTCATCCAGCATTACCATATTGCTAAATTTAAGTGCCTTTATCATACTGCTTTTCATTCCCTTACCAACGCTAGCAAATTACCATCAATTTGATTCTCGTTTAGGGAACCATTTAGGTAGAATATACTCAGCCAATGACCAATATAAAACAAAGTCTGTGATAGAAAGGTTAAAGGATCTAAGATTATTAATCAAAATAAGAGACTTAAGAAAATAAATTTAAATAAACAAGCTGTCTCTTTTCAACCCTGTATATTGAATTTTACAGTCATAGAATACATGGGAGTGGGCCTGAAACAGACCCTACAGGAATAATTAAAAGGATTTACAAAGTTATTTTAGAAGGCCAGAAATGTAGAAGACAGTAAATGGTAGCTCTATTATTTGAGCTGTTCAGTGCTACGTTGAGCAAGTGTAAGGCAGAACACTTCCAGATTTTTCTTGAATATAAATAATTTAGTTTGTATCCTGTGTGTTACAGTTTGCAGGTGTTTTCATAGTCATGGATACATTTTTGTTGTCCTATTGCTCCTCAGATATAACATTCATTGTGTAGTGATAGATTAGTAGCAATAGGTGAATGCTAAGTAGACGTTTCTTTAACAATAATAAATGAAACCCTCAGCAGGTGGCAGTTTGGGGCAGGAAAGCCTTTTTTGGCAAGATCTGAATGGTATTGCTGATTCTTCATCCTGATCTGCAGAATTTACAATGTAGCTAAGGTTTGGGGGTAGGGGGTTTTGTTGTGGTTTTTTTTTTTTTTTTTTGGTTGGTTGGTTTGGGTTTTGTGTGGGGTTTTCTTTTTGCTGTTTTTATGTTGTAGGTTTTTTTTTTTGTTGTTTGTTTGTTTTTTGTTTTTTGTTTTTTTTTTTTTAAGAAATGTAGTTACCAAGGCAATTTTGAACTGAAAATGAAAGGCATATGTTTCTGCTATTTAAAAACCATTGAATTGGGCTTCTTGGACAAAGAGTGGTTGGGGTTTTTTTCCTTGCATCTTATTTAAAATAAAGATAAAAATGTAAAATATACTATAAAGCATTATATGTTATTGATACCCTGATTTGCTAAATAGAAAGCAGTTAGTTTTAAAGCATTTTTGCTGTAACAAGCCATCAGTACATTAGTTGTACTGTCAGTTATGTTTTAAAATAGTTCATTTTTCTTCAGTAAATGTTACATGGAAAGTCAAAAAGAATGGTTTGAAAAATCAGTTTAAAAAGTATTCCTGTAGCAGACCTAAGCATTGTTTCCTACTCCATTCTTTTTGTGGATGATGCTATAAATGAAATACCTTGCTTAAACATAACCACAACCCAGATGTAAGAAAACTTAAGTGCTACGTTATATGTTCTTTGAAATAATCAAACTACACTTAGCACAAAAAAAGCTTCAATGGATAGAAGTAACTGTATTTACACATAGTCCTTCAGGTTGTAACCAGCGTTGCTCTCCTGCTCGGTGGATGGGAAGTGGTGCTGCTTTGGAGGGTAAATCCATGCTCCTTGCTGCTTTTTAAGACAGGAAGTGCAGAAAATCACACCTGCGATAAGCAGAAACCCTGCTGAAATGAATCCTGTGTAAACTGCTCCTCCTGGTTCATGTTTACTGCTCTCTGGAATGGTCTGGTCCAGAAAATTTGAAATAATTTCTCTCGTGTACCAGGATGTTGGTACTAATCCAAAGATTCCTGCAAGAATGAAGCAGACTCCTCCAGCAAAACAAGCGTGACTTTTGCTGTCAGTGTCCCCTCCCAACTTTGTGCATTTCATTCCAACTGTGGTGATGCAGATCCCAAAGGCTGATAGGATACAAGACAGTACCATGGTGGTCCGTGCAGCCTGGATGTAGACAGGGAGAGAGAGAACGGAGTATTTCAGGGTACAGCTAAACATCCCGGTGCTGTACCATGTGCAGTCCATCCAAAGTCCTTGCATCTGTGTGATAGCTGTTATAATATTTGAACCAACATCTGCATTTACCTTCCAGTTTGGTAGCAGGGTGGCTGTGATATCTCCAAAAACACCAAACAAAGCCAGAATGAAAGCAAAGAACTGCAGACTTGCTGATGCCATGATGATTGTCTGCTGTCACCTTTTGTCTGCCTGTTTCTCTTTTGTAAATGAAAGTAACTGGTTGGTAGCTTCGTAGCCAAGGCTGTAGCCCTCTGTGTAATAGGGAGGAAGGGAGAGGGGGGAGAAGTGCGAGTGGGAAAGAAAAAGAAATCAGCAAACAAAAAACCCCTTGCATTTGAAATTAGAGCTATCTGAATGAATATCTGAACATGACCCTGCAGCAGATGAGAGCAGCTGAGCAGCTGTACACAAGGTACTTGAACATAAATGATGGCAAATGGACAGTGTTTTAGAACTGCTTGTAGGAAGGAGATGCTGTCCTTTCATACATGATTGCAAGCCATCAAGAAAAACTTTTATTTTACTGGGGTTATTTTTGGTAATGGTATATAGATTGCAGGCTTACTAGACAAATATACATTGTAAATGGAACATTAGAAATTTTCAGATTAGAAGTCA